GGCTATTCTACGACTATTGGTATTAGTTTTTATTAATTTTTTTTTGTAACTTATGGTTTATTTTTGCTCATTTTGCAACTGTTTTGTACGATTTACAGTATAGTTGAAAACTTTTTTTTTTGGAAACGGCCGAAAATTCATGCGCGCGCGGATGTCATCCGTATAATCAAATCAACATGGCCTTACTGCATGGCGGTATATACTGTTGGAACACTTCACATTTTGAACAGGGAGTTCGTGTGTGGGAGAGAGATATGTCCATTTTTGGTATGGGTGATGTGGTAAAGCCATGCTTTGAAACTTTGAAACTTTATTTTCAATACAAACATACATGTAGCAGACAAAAGTCTGAATTGCGTTAGTATTTACACACCATTGAGCTCGTTTATATTATAATACACAAACTGCGGGTATTTACAGTATTAAAAGTAAATTCTTAATTTCTATATAAAACAAATTGGCATCTCTTAAAGATTAAAAGATTAATTACCTACTAAAAACTCGTAGTTTAACATAGAATGATAAGATAGGTGCAGGGTAAACTTCAGATATAAAGATTCGAAATTCAGAAAGTTTGTTTACAGTTCAGAGTTCACTGTCCCTTGTTGAGAAGGTTTACAAGGTATGGAATGGGAGAGTTTTTCAGTCTGTTGGTCCGACAGAGAGGTGTGTTCAGTTTCTGCTTGTTACGAGTGTTTCGACCAGATATGCTGCATTTGTTCGTGAGCAAATGTCGGCCTTCCTAGTTCTTTTCCGTGTCACTGTGTAAATTTATTTCTTAGTTGTTTATATCAGCGTTAGCGATTATATAAGTGCTCGAACTTGAGCGCGCCACCACTTTGGTTATATGTGCTGTCTTATTTGAATAAAAACACTTTTAGGAGATATGTTTATTCAATATTTTTATCATCTCCCGGCACGGAGTCTCAATTGTGCGCCGTTCCGTCCTGCAGACAAGCCGCTTTCAGAAGCCTCATAGTAAGTACAGAATGTTCTTCACATCTCCATGTTACTCTACTAACCACTTAAATTAAAGAGAGTCTTTATAATTTGGATATTTTAGTTTTTGTCGAGCTGTAGTGAAAAATTTTTGTGTACAATATGTACGCTGTGATTTCTCTTTTACAAACGAAACAGAACAAGGATGAGAGCAACTCAAAATTCATTGTGAGTGTTTCTCTACGCTAAAATTCAACAATAATGGTCCAAAATGTGCAGAATGAGATCTTCATATGATAGCACAAATGAACAATCCTAGTTTTAAACATGACTACAGGCATAAAACTACTAACAAGGCGATGTTGCATTGGGTTAGTGTCTAGGCGTAATTTTATTTTCACCACTCTAAGAAATAATTGAAGGTTTATGACTAGATAACCTCAAGTTGGTCCCGAGACAGGTAATAAAAACGGTATGTGGGGAAACATATTCAAGTAAAAACAACATGTCAGATAAAACCCAAACTGAGACGTCACGTACTTCAACTAGTTTGGCATACATTGTCTGGTATCAGAAGACGACTCGTGGGCTGCTTCATCTACATAGAAATTGGGTGATTCTGTCTGCTAACTAACGTCAGAGTTCTTTGCAGCGCTCCATATGGTGTACATGACCATATAGGATTCAGGATACAAGTGTTTAAAGAAGAACTTTATTGCACGACAAATGCACATGGTACATTGTATGGCAAACTACATAAAGAGAGTAAAAACAATAAAATAAGTGTGTTGAATAAGACCTAATGTCGAATAAAACATAACATATCTATATCATAATCATTCAAATAATAAGGGATATCACAAGTCGTTGATAAAGTGTTACAATCAAGTGGGCTAATCACAAGTTTCGGTATTTTTTCTAATAGCAAAGCATTCCTTTATATATCTAGTACCTATTTTTGCGTTGTGCGGACCGTTACATGTAAAGATATATTCAAATCTGTCTCCAACTTCGAGACTCTTAAAATCTATGGTACTTGATTCGAGAAACGTAAATAGCTTGTTACGTATAACATCATATTTGGTACATTCCATAACAACATGAAATTCATTTTCTATATGTTTTGGACAAAATGGACAGAACCTTTGGTCGGGGGCTATATTGTAATATCTACCTGTTTCAATATTCAATTTATGGCTACTGATTCTTAATTGAATTATTGCTTTACGAATTTAAATGTGCTGCGCTCTGATAACTTAATATCGCCAAGAAAAGCCAAGACATCATCATCATCATTGCCGCACGTCAATATAGAACATCACGGCGGACCGTCGTTGTCCTCCATATTGTCTTGTCCCCTTTCGTCCGCAACCGATCTCTGCAAGATCCCGATTGACTGTCCTTAATGAAACAGATCAGCAATGACTTGCAAAAGGAGTCCTTATGTAAGTCATTGCTGATCTGCTTCCCCTTCTTGTCATCTTTTTATTGAATGAATGAATGAAAGACCTTTATTGTACGCTTGTGCTCTAACGAGCTAAGCACAGGTCATGGGTAGACAGGGAAAAGAAAACAGTAATGACACTTACATACTATATAAACTAATGTGTTCTACTATTTACAGGTTCAGCTTCTTCTCGCTTCTTGACGCAGTTAAAGATGTACGAACATATTGAGCTAATGATACATGTTTTGTCAAGTTTCATGAGGAATTCGAATTTTTCTATTCTATCTAAATGTCTAAAGCTTGGGAACTTATCTATTACATACATGTAAGTATAGAGCCTCAGGGAATCCCTCTCATTTCTATATAAAGTGCAGTCAACTACAAAATGGCATTCATCTTCAATATAATCTAGATTACAAAATTGGCAGATCCTTTGCTGTAGAGGAATGTGATATTTTGACCCTTCCTTCCTCGAGTACCTAAAGGAAAAGTAGGAACTGGTTACATACAGTCTCTATCTCATAACTTCAAATGAATTAAAATAATTTCAGTCTGTGTGTGTGTGTGTAGAAAGTATACTTTTATGTCACTTCGTTACATAATAAACAAGAGTTCCACGCGCTCATACCTTCGCCAAAATGATATTAACCCTTCCGGTTGACGAATTATACAACTTTAATAATTGATTTCACAAAGAGCCTCATTTGCATGGATTATATCAGTTGATCATATTCTCCACCCGATGATGTCTTATCTATTCTAGCACTTCCTCGTAAATTATGCAAATAAGGTCATGATTTGAATAAATTATGTTTATTGGTGTTCACCTTCACTTAACTTCCAAATGAGGCAAGTATAAAATTCCCAGCAGTTACAACTATGAAATTATAACACTTTCCGATTAATTATGCAGATTAGGTCTTCATCTCGTTCTTTATTACATGTCACAAGTGTTTCATAATCCTATCATTGATCTAAGCAGATTTATAGAATTTCCTAATTAATTATGCAAATTAGCTCCTGATTTGCATGGTTGTCCTCTGATTATGTCAAGCATCGCGTTAGCTACCTACATACCAAAAATCACGACAATCCGTCATCCGTTCTTGAGTTATCCTTCCAAGGTTTCTCAACAAACGCTCCTGCAGTTCCAGAACAAGCCGCTAGGGGGCCCAAACTCATGTCGCTTCTTCCCTAATCCAAGTGCTATCTACCATCTAAAATTCGTGATCCTAGCATTTGAGATATCAAAACCGGAAGTTCTGCTGCAGTACTAACAAAAGCCGCCAGGGGGCCAAAGATCTAACCATTTCTAGGTCTCACCAAGACCTACCCACCTACATAGTTCGAATGCATATCAAGCTTCTTGGGTTATGATGTTCACACAAATAGACGGACAAACGCTACTGAAAACATAACCTTCTTGGCGAAGGTATTTAACATAACCCTATAGTATTCCAGAAAAATATTCAGGAAAATTCAGGAAAAGATATGCCACGCCGTTGCTCCATACAACATACTTAACAACTTTGATCTTTCAGTTCAACATATGTTCTGTAAAGTATGATCCTGTGAAGAAATAGCAACCTTAAGTTGTTGACAACATAGACTAAATTTATAATACCATCCCACCCTCGTGTGAAAAGACATCACTTCAAAGAAACCGAACTTGATGACGTCCCGCCCCAATTAGCACCCCCCCTCCTGACCTCTCACTATACAGTACATTTTGTTAAGACCAGGAAGGTTTTCAATTCACTGTTTTGCACAGTTCACTGTTTACTGGCACTGAAACTTATGATGCATATATGCTAAAAAGTGGTTGTACTCGTATATGATCGTATATGTCAATCACATGAATACTTTGTCCTTGAGATTATTTTCTCATTTACACCATGTCTGTTTATGCACAGGTGTGCAGAGTCACAGTGTCTTCATCTTATATATTATGCTAGCGTGTCTGGAAGAAGTCTCAGAGCCATGGCTGAAGACCTGACCTCCGACGCCGTATCAAGTGTCGTCAGAAACGAATTCCTCAGTGATAGCATGACTGAACCAGGTACAGAAACTGTTCCACCTACCGTCAGGCAACCTGGCGAAGATGATAATGGCTACATCTCTACTACATGTGAGGAAAATGAACACGATGACGATGAACATTTACATGTATCTATCCAAAGCGATGCTGCTTTTGAGAACAGGGAGACAATTCATATCAGCCCTGGGGATTTTGATACCTACGCCATTGCATATACATGCAAGGCCCAGGATACCCGTATAAAGAAAAATGTAGAAGAGACGTCGACGAAAAGTAAAGCGTTTCAGGGATCAAACACAGCGTCCAGCACCCACAATGACAACGACATCCACTTGGCAGAGTGTGGCTCCGTCCAGAATCATACTGATACTTTCAATGGAAACGATGGTAACATGCGCATACAAGCCAGGGATCCAAATCCGATGTACACACATGAAAGTGTAAACCCTTATCCAATACACGCTGAAAACAAAGTTAACCCCAATCCAATGTACCTGCAAAGCACCACGGAGGATTCTAACGCCAGCCCTGGATTCGCTTTCAAGCCAAGTGAACCCTATCAGGAACTAAAAACAGTGCACAACAGTCGCACACAAGCCATGGATTCAAATCCAATGTGCACACATGACACTACAACCCCTTATCCGTTGCACCCTGAAAACGACGTCAATCCCGATCGAGTGTACACGAACCTACAAAGCACCTTAGAGCCTTCTTACGCCAGCCCTGGATCTGCCTTCATGTCAAGTATACCGAGTGATGACATTCCCTGCACCCTGACATCAGCTGATACACATCAGCAAGATGACGCAAACATGTGCCAGGACAACCTGGAATGCAACGCAGCCTTAGCAGATACTCAACCAAAACTACCCTCGCAGGATCTACCATCAGCAGCTTCAAACGACATCAATGATGTCTCGAGCAACCCATTGAGCAATATCAATGGTGTCCTGAATGCCCTGAATCCAAATCCGATATACGTACCAAACGTCCAGAATAATGCAGCTTGCGGTAAGAACTTTTTTATTATTTCTATACCCAAAATGTATGTCAGCAACTATTAAACAACAATAGTACGAGACTAATCTATCCTACATTTAGAACAAAAAATGTTGTGGATGGTATGAGTGAAATATATTGTTTTAACTCATGTTTTTCCTCATTTGGTCAATTTCTTCATTTTTAGGCCAAATGACCTAAAAGTTGGTATGGAGGTAGAATTGGCCGATACCAATAGTGGGCAATTGCCAATAGGCATGCTGCATTCGCATTCAATATGCCGATTGGCTGTTGAAATAATTAGGTTATTGCTACCTTGACCACCTGCAACATATTGACATTTGGACGCGCCTTTATGCGTTAAAGGGGTCTTCTCAAAATGCCTGCTCTAGGAATGTTGTTTAATCTTGAAAACAATTTGCATTAAGTCAATAATGCTTACCCATAATGTATTATAAGTTTAAAAATACACACCTTGTACGATGGTACTGGCATGCCTCACCAGTGGGATCGTCAGTTGAACACCACCCGTCATGGGGAATTTCGGCCCTTGATTCAATATTCCCTCAGGATGGGGGGGCCAGTAGTGTATAGCTGTCTCCATCAGTCCTGGCGGTAGACTAACATGGCACTAATCTGCAATATTTCAGGATGCACCCGTTGCCAGCTCTGCATAGCTGCAGTATCTACAGCTACGGTCCTTGTGTCGTGCGTCGTTATTGGAGTCTTTCTCTGGTTAACTTTAAGCGCCAGCTCAACAACGGTAGGCCTTATAGGCTCTTATGGCCTTGTCTCGCTGTCGCTATGTTCACCGTTTTGTGAGCTTTCTTTTGCATTTTAGAGTTCTCGTTTAGTAATAGAGCAGACGTCATTATATACGTGAGGTTTATATGATTGCACTGTACGTTTACTTACATGTACGTGAAAAATGGTCAAGCTTCACAAAACACAAACAAGAAATTGCAGACCTCATACCTAGAGGTTGTGCAAATGTTTCGTATTCATCTCATTGTGTATGGAAATAAGGTTATTCTTATAATCATAATTGATCTTGATCTTGGAATAGCCGTTTATAAATATGCAATAGCTTATTGTGCTTCTTCCAATACAGTTTGGTACAACAAATGTTACTAGGACTACTACTACTACCACTACTACTGTCCATATTTTTACCTCTATACCAACTGGAGGTGGCAGTTCTTTACCCACGTTCTCTGCAGTCTCCAACACCTCGCAACGCGAAGGTGAGACTAGCACGAAATTCATCTGTTGGTAGGAAGGGTTAAATTATACTCCACTCCAAAAGAGAGTAAACAAGGGTCCATAGGCAACAATTCTCCGTGAAGTCTTATGTTTTGCAAATATTTATTTTTTTTCCGTCATTTTCATACAGGGTTGCCACAACACAACACAACAAAACACAGCAGTCACATACAAACAATAAAATTTGGATACAATAAATAATTTTAATGCCAATGGAGATGCCATAAAGAAAAAACAGTAACCAATAACATTGATAAATAATGATAATAACTAAAGTACAAAATTGTCCAGTCCCGTCATTTGTTGGTATGGAGGGGTCAGAGATCAGGCAAATTTTTACATCTCATTTTAAAAGTGGACATGGACGGACAGGTCTTCACAGCATGTGGCAACCTGTTCCAGAGGATAGGGTCTCTATAGGAGAACTTGCGCTTACCACATTCAAGGCGCACTACCGGCAGTTTCAAGGATAGGTTCTGACTGTGTCTGGTGGGATATTTGTGAGATTCAGAAGCTATCTGAAAGCTATTTATGTATTCTAGAAGTTCATTATTGAGTGCCTTGTACATTGATTGTAGCAGGTGCAGGTTTCTCTGTGATGATAAAGTTTTCCAACCTAGGGTAGATAACTCATCATCGTCAACATGATGTGTATATGGTAAACCAAGAATAAGTCTCACTGCCCGGTTCTGGAACTTTTGTAGTTTGTCAGACAGACACTTTCCACAATTTCCCAATATCAGATCGCAGTAGTCTATTTTAGGTAAGACTACAGTTAAACAACATTATAAGTGTGTGTTGAGGCAAACATGGGATGAGACGTCGTAGGACTCAAGTTTATTTTTTGAAGTAACAAGTTTGAGCCTGAACGAACGCAGCGAGAACATTGTAGCGATCGAGTTGAGTTAAAATCACCGGGGACCCTTCAACAAGTCAGTGAGTTCGGTTCGTGTGTTTCGAGAATCTTTTTTTTTCTGATAGTTACTCAGAAATGGCGAGACGACTACCGCTGTGGAGACGGTTACACTACAGGAGATGGGAGGCCCGCTGAGTGTGACCCTGACAGTACCATCCCATGCTGCTCTCCGGGCAACTGGTGTGGGAACACTGCAGAACACTGTTACTGCTTGGGCTGTGTCTACTACCATAACTCAGGTCGGTACTTGATGATTTATAAAGGTGTGTTGTATGTGTGGTGTATGTTTCATGCGTGTGTGTGTAGTTGTATTCTACTAACAGTTATTTTTACCTTCATGAAAAATGGAGGTATTGTTTTTGGCGTGCCTGTGTCTGTGTGTGTGTTTGTGTTTCCGCACAATTGTAGTCAGCATTACTTAAGAACGCCTGTATGGATTGTGATGATATTTGGTATGTTGGTAGGTCGTAGGAATACAAAGATCAACGTCATGACGTCAGATATGGGCCTCCTTGTGGCTGACCTTGGTACTGCAGCAAAACTTCCGTTTTTTGTATCTTTTTCCTGAACATGCTATGGTCTTGATGTTTTGGTGACAGATAGCTTTTTCTGTCAGGAATAAGTGGTGTGGGTTTTATCCTCCTAGCAACTTGTTCTTTTCTGGGCTGGTATCAGATACTTAGTGGTTGGTGTGTGTGCATGTGTGCGCGTGCAACTTGTTCTGTACCTGTAGGGGACGTAATGGTGAAATCTTTTAAAGCTGATAAGTCCAGAAAGGATCAGTGTATATTCATTATTTTTGGTAGGTAGGCAGCTCATAGAGAGATGTACATAAAAAAACTGCAAATTTTGCAAAAGAAGACCTAATTTGCATATTTATATTTCAGTCCATACCATGGTATGGATGAAATATATTGTGTTCTCTGATGTTTCTCCTCCTCCTTCTCCTCCTCCTGCCACACAGTCAGAGGGATTCAACTCCGCCATCATTCAGCCAAATGACTTGAAATTTGGAATGGAGGTAGAGTGGGCCAATACCCCCAGGCGTTTTTTTTTTTTCATTTTTTTGATACATGCCTTTGA